TTTTTTTTTTTTTTTTTTTTTTCTAAAGAAATTTACGCAGATGTTATGTTTTGCTTCAGACAGATGGCAAACAAAACTAAGCTGACAATGTGTTCTATAGATTGAGACCAAAAAATTTTTTACACACAACTAAAATTTTAACTTTAAAATATTTCTATATTAGCACTTCTGATGCCACACCTGTTTCACATGAGTGTAGCCTTATTTTAAGATGATCAAATGATTTGTCAAAATTTCCTTAACTAGTAAACCTGAAATTGGTTTGGTGTGTTTTAGAAAATCAACTAGTGCATAGAAAACATAAATTTTGACACTATAACTGCAGTTTTGGGGTTTTTTCAATGATGAACTTGACAACAACGATGACGCCGAAGATGACGATGAAGTTGATGACGATAATGACGATAACTATATAATAAGAGGTGTTGCTGGTTTTTTTTTTTTTTTTAGTTCTTTAGACAGAGAAAAAGCGTGAATGAGTTGAAAACACAGTTTTTATAAAAAAAGTGGAGTACTTTAAATTTTATAATAATTGTAGTTTTATATATTTTTTAAGTAGTTTTAAATTACACACATTTCTTTTTTTTTAAACCTGTTTTTCAGCTGTTCATCGAAGCTTGATTCCTTGTTGTTCACCCCAAATCACTCCGTCAGCACACCCTTCTTCAAAATTTCCACCTTCTTACCGCAGGCCCTATTTCATCTTTCTGCTTCTTACCTCAATAAATTCTCACATGATTTATCAAAAAAAAAAAAGAAAAAAAAAAGTTTGCAAAGTCCTGCATCGTTACCTAATTTTTTTTTTTCAAATACATAAGTTTCAAATTTCTTAATTTTTTTTTTTTATAAATCTTAAATTTTTTTTAGATTGTTTTTTTTTTTTTTTTTGTTTGCAGCTAGAATTTGTAAATGTAGACGATATAATAGTGAAAGATTAGTTTGTTTGTGCTTCACTTAATACGGTGCAGTTGAACTTAAAATCATCAAAAAAGTTTGACTGATTTATTGTCAAATCAAAGTAAACAAACATCAAAAAAAAATAGAAAACTTGAAAAGCCGGGCAATAATTGTCTGTTGAAAATAGATGTTTGTTTTGGATGTAGATGAAGATGAAGATGAAGTTGAAGTTGAAGATGATGATGATGACGACGACGATGATGATGATGATGCTGATGCTGATGCTGATGATGATGATGATGATGACGATGATGACGATGATAACGATCGATCAAAAAGTTTAACTGAACAAATTTTATTGGTGCATGCACAAAGATCCAAAAACAAATCAATTCATCAAAAAAGAATAGAAAAGATTTTCTTTTTTCTAAGTTCGCAAAATTTGCGATAACTGCTTTTGACTTCTACTAAAAAATTTTTACTCGTTGTTGCAAAACACATAAAGCATAAAGCATAAAAGCAAAAAAGCAAAAAAAAAAAAAAAAGAAATTAGTAACTTTTATCAATTGGTATATTCACTATTTTCTTTTTCAAACTTTTCTAAACCTAACATCATCTAATTAAGTCGGCTGAAAAGCTGGTGAAAAAATACGCAGTTAGTTGCATTCAAACAGAATACTCCTTTTTTTTTTTGCTTTTCGGTTCTTCCTTGTACTTTTTCATTCATCTTTTCTTTTCTTTTCTTTTTTTTTTTTCCTACATCTTCTTTCCTGCTTGTCAATAATTTTTCCTTTTTCCTTTTTTTTTTTGTTGTTCTAATAGAAGAGGAAATTAAAAAGAAAATAAATTTATTAAATAACAGCAGTCATCATTGATGGTCCATAATTTATTCAAACATACGTAGACATTTTTTTTTTTTCATTCTTATTAACGCTATCATTATCCAAATTGTTTAGCTAAGAATCAAAATTAACAAGTTAAATCTTCTTCCCACTTACATTCTTATAAATGCAGCTTTGCTTAGGAAAATAAAAAACGATGAAAAAAAAAAAGGTAGGAATGGAAAGAAGAACTGAAAATAAGAAAGATGAGCGATGAAACAGTAGAGGTTTTTTTTTTTTTTTCGAGATTTATAAGATAAAGAAAAAACGAAGGCACAATAACGGTGGAATTTAAGTGAACATAATAAAATGAAATAGAAAATTTGCAGAAAGCTTGGCACGTACAAATTTTTTCTGTTTT